GGATTCTTAACCACTGTGCCACCAGGGAAGCCCTCGAAAGAATTCTTATAACGACCCCCGAAACTGATCTCTGTCTCTGGTGTGCGAGCACCAGGTGTCCTCCACGCCACTGCTACGGGCATCTTTCTAGATCACAAGCCTGCATGTTGCTCCCACACCCTCCCTGATAGCTCAGAGCTTCCTGGGATTTCTGTAAAATTTCAAAAAGAACTTTGGGGACCAAGTAAGGTCACCAACTTTTAATTTTGCAAAGTAAGGACATAGAGTTAAATGGTTAAGTAAAAAGTTGCTAATGCCATTGACCATCACCATTATTTCATAAAAGAGAGGCTGAAACAAGGGCTTAAGCTCAGAAGGAAGACACTTTGGCAACCTTACACCATGCAAATATCCACACTGCCTTGTCCGTTGTCTTCTCCTTTGGCCTCAGACCAATAGACTTCTCCACAGACCATTCTGGGTGGTGTTGGGGCCCAGCTGGAGGTTACTTCTTTCTCCTCAGGAGACTGTCAGCTCCTTGGAGAGGTTTTTTGTTTTGTTTTGTTTTTGTTTTTGTTTTTATTGAATGGAGGAGCCATGATTAACTTTCTGGTTGGTGGTTTACAGGTTGTGAGGGAAGGCATGAAGCTCAGAGTGGAAGGTGCTGCTCAGCTTGTGGGTCCCTGTATCCCCGCCCCCAACCCCTCTCTGGGAATGTCTGGCTTTGTGGTTCCTCCCTCTTCCCTTGTTTCCTCATCTCTCTGACACTCTCTGGCTTCCTTTTTCTTTCCTTTTCCTCTTCTTATTCTCAGCCCACTCCTATTTTCCCTCTATGTACTCCAACCCTGGAGCCCAGTGGCCCATATCTTAACTGGTTATAATATACAATTTAAAAAGATTGTGTTAGTGGGACTTCCCTGGTGGCGCAGTGGTTAAGAATCCGCCTGTCAATGCAGGGGAACACGGGTTCGAGCCCTGGTCCGGGAAGATCCCACATGCCGCGGAGCAACTAAGCCTGTGCGCCACAACTACTGAGCCTGCACTCTAGAGCCCACGAGCCACAACGACTGAGCCCACGTGCCACAACTACTGAAGCCCATGGTGCCTAGAGCCTGTGCTCTGCAGCAAGAGAAGCCACCACAACGACAAGCAGCTCCCGCTCTCCGCAATTAGAGAAAGCCCACACATGGCAATGAACACCCAACGCAGCCAAAAATATAAATAAATAAATAAATTTATTAAAAAATAATAAATAAAATAAAATAAAATGTTATCGCTATACCCAAGGTCATCTAGGTTTAAAAAAATTATTGTGTTAGAAAATGTTTTATATTCTCTGCTCTGAATTTTGAGAGTTGGGTCAGTTTTTAAACAGATATTATCGTGTGCCGTGTGAGTGCTAGGTCCTTTCAGCCTGTGATCCCAGGTGATGTGTGCAGGAGAAAGTTATCCCCTTGCTTAGAAGTGAAGAAACAAGGCCTAAAAGAGGTTGAGTGTCTTGACCAAGGTTACACATCTGTATGAAGACCCCTGTCATCTTTTATGTTGGATTTCTCTGTTCCAAAACCCAAGCAAGCAAACCCAAATCCATTCTCAAATTAACAGAAATAAGTGTCTTGTTTTAAAAACTTGTGTGGAAAAAACTCACAGGTGGTCTTTATCAGTCTCACTTATTGGAGTATGGTCATTCATTCACTCACTTTGTTATGAATATAAAAGTACACCTTAGAATCTGGAAATATTAATACAAGGGACACACTCAGTGTTGATGTTAATGTATTGAATAGTCTTTTTTTTCCAAGTGATTTTTTCCATAATTAAAATTTTTCTAACTACACAGTTTTTCAGCAAGATGCCAGGCCTGTGTTAAGAAGTGAGTTTACAAAGATGAGTAAGATACAGTCCCTGAATTTGAGAAATGTTCAATCTAGAGGTGATTTTTTTTTTTTTTTAATAAAGGGGAAAAAAGAGTATTCTTGGAGTCAGAAAGCCTTAACACTTATTTCTTACAAAACTTCGGGCAAGCTATTTAACCTCCCTGTGCCTCATTCTCCCCATATGTAAAGTGGAGATAAAAGTGGTACCAATCTCAGAGTACTGTTGTGAGGATTAAATGAGTTAATTCATGTAAAGTAGGCAGAATGGTGCCTGGCACATAGTAAGTGCTCAATAAATATTAGGCATTGTTATTGTTGCTGTTTTGTCTAGTTATCACCACCATTATCCTTACCCCTGTAACTTCCTGGCACATGGGGGGCACACGGGGGCACAAGGGGACCAGTGAATGATGGTTCCTTCCCCTCTTTCACCCAGCATGCTAGCTGAAAGGAGGCATTGGGAAATATAAAATACTTTAGGATAAATATGAAATACTTCTGTCCAAACAGAAAAAAAAAAAAAAATGTGCTCACAGATGTTGCTAATGTTTTATAGCCTTCCTGAGCCTCCATGTCTTTGTAAACCTGAGATAATAGTACCTGCCTCGTATATTGCTGTGAGGCTTCAGCATCACATAGGCTAAGAACCACTTGGACCTGGAGTAGGGCGAGCTTCCACAAAGGTCGATGCTAGAAATACTAGTAATATTCTATTAGTATGCAGTTAGTATTATTAACCTAACTTATTTCTTCCAACCCTGATCCCCAGTTTTTTCATCTGTAAAATGGAAATGATTATTAGTAATAATGATGCAAAAGTTGCTCCGTCTCAGGTGACAAATGGTCTGAATCAGGGGTCCCCATCATCATCTAGGGAGCTTTTAAAAAAAAATTATTTATTTATTTATTTTTAAATTTTTATTCTTTTTGGCTGCGTTGGGTCTTCATTGCTGTGCGCGGGCTTTCTCTAGTTGTGGTGAGTGGGGGCTACTCTTCGTTGTGGAGCGTGGGCTTCTCATTGCAGTGGCTTCTCTTGTTGCGGGGCATGGGCTCTAGGTGTGCGGGCTTCAGTAGCTGCAGCATGTGGGCTCCGTAGTTGTGGCTCGCGGGCTTAGTTGCTCCGTGGCATGTGGGATCTTCCCAGACCAGGGACCGAACCCATGTCTCCTGCATTGGCAGGTGGATTCTTAACCACTGTGCCACTAGTGGATTCCCTAGGGAGCTTTTTAAAAAGTCTTGTTATGTAAGACAATCTTCCTATGTGTTAGAAAAATTTTGTCCATTCTGGTAACATTCCTGGGTTACTTGAGATAAAATTCCTACTTTATCCCTGGAAATCTGAGCCACCAAAGGTTAAACATCCTTTTCTGGACCACATACCATGTTGGGGGGTCAGAGCTGCGGGTTGAAAGTATACTGGTCTCCCTTTCTTCCTGAAACATCTCTCTGGGCTTGGGGAACCTTTTGAAAACCCGGATGTCTGAATCCCATCCTGGAGATCCTGAGGCCATAGGTCAAGGATGGGACCTGAAAAGCCACCAATGATGCTGAACATGTCTGGGTTTGGGAACCACTGCACTGAATGACCATCCATGGTCAGCCGTATTTCCTATGTAGCATTGCCCCTGTCTCCTGGTTTTAGCTTTCATTCTAGTATCCCCGCCCCCTCCTTTAATCCTTCAGTCACCCCCTGCTATGAGTCTAACTGTTCTCTGCTAGGCTGGTCTGGGAGGAACACAAAGGAATAAGAGACTGTGTCCCTCGCATTTATCCTAGGTTGATTTGGGGCTAACTTGATGTATGACCTTGGACAAGTCGCTTTCCCTCTCTGGGCCTCTGTTTCCTCTCTGTACAATGGGGAGGGTGAACATGCTCTTGTGTCCCTTCCAGGGCTACTAGTGTGTGGTTTTTCTCCCCTCCTGGGAAGTCACACTCCCTCTGGAAATTCTGTCCTGAGCAGAAGTAGGGTCACCCTCTCCTCCAACCCCTTGCTAGCCCTTCTACTCCTGGCTCAGGGAGGCTCGACATCTTTGTGTAAACCGGTTCTGTGGTATTTTTAATTTCTTGATGGAAAAACGATGAACTGAAAAGAAAATATTTTAAACTCCAGAGCATTCCACACATTGCCTGTCAGGGTTCAGCGCCTGGTCCCTCGGGCCCGCGTTTGCCTCTGAGCCTGGCCTCGTGTCAGCACTCTCGCTTTGATACTTGGCCTTCTGCAGCCTTGCGGGTTTCTGCAGAAACGTGGTTCCCATGGAGGGAGAGGGGCCTGGGAGGGTGCCCAGTCCACCTCCCTTCTCGGGCAAAGTGTATTAAACCCACCCAGGCAGGTGAGAATCTGTTGTCTATATTTATTTTTTTTTAAGTATTTATTTATTTGGCTGCACCGGGTCTCAGTTGCGGCATGCGGGATCTAGTTCCCTGACCAAGGATCAAACCGGGGACCCCTGCATTGGGAGTACGGAGTCTTAACCGCTGGACCACCAGGGAAGTCCCTAGAATCTGTTGTTTAAATAAATAATTTTTATTGCAAAAATGTGCATAAAGGAAATTAAAATGTTAATGGTGTTTATATCTAATGCTGTGCATCCTTCCAACTTTTTTTCTCTGTGTGAATATATATATTGCAATATATCATATAACATATAATGAAAAATGATATAAATGTGTTTCTTTAGAAGTTCTGGATCAAACTCTGTGGCCTTTTTCTTGTCTTGAATTTTTCATAAAACATAGCATATTCTTAGCTGTTTTCTAAATTTTTTTTTTTTTTTTGCGGTACGCGGGCCTCTCACTGTTGTGGCCTCTCCCGCTGCGGAGCACAGGCTCCGGACGCAAAGGCTCAGCAGCCATGGCTCACGGGCCCAGCCGCTCCGTGGCATGTGGGATCTTCCCGGACCAGGGCATGAACCCGCGTCCCCTGCATTGGCAGGCGGACTCTCAACCACTGCGCCACCAGGGAAGCCCTCTAAAATATTTTTAAAGGCGATTACAATATGTGGCTATATCATAATTTATATAGCTAGTCCTCTAGGGTTGGCTATTTGTTTGCTTCCAACATAAAATTCATTGTGATGAATTTTATTCCATTAGATAGGACTTTCAGCATCCATGAATCATTAATAATGACTCTTCTCTCCACAGAATCCAAGAGTTCTCCAGCTGAGACTGAGCTGCCCCCTTCCACGCAGGTGAGCTCATGTTCTTGTCAAAGGGTCACGGCGGCAGCACCTAGTGTTAAGGGTTGTGGGCTGGCATCAGGCAGAAATTGGTTTAAATCCCAGCTCTGCCACTTACTAGAAACATGGCCACGGGCAACTTGCCTGTCCCTTTCACACCTCTGTAAAGCAGGGTAAGAGCAGTTCTCGTCCCGGGGATGTGGGCCATGGAAAGTGTGGAGCGGTGCTGGCCTAGCTCACTGAGCTGCTCTGTGTCTGGTGCCTGCTGTTTCATCTCTGAACCTCTGGGCACCACTAACAGCTTAGCCTGTGACTCAGATTCAGTTTTTCTGAGCTCTTCCCCTGTGGACTCCTGGTGTCATAATTTTCTGGAAAGAGGATTACTTCTGAAGCCGCTCAACAAATCCTTGAGTAATCCAATTTCCCATCCAACTACAACTCCTCTCCTGGTCCTTAATTCCCTAAATGCTAAGCTGGGAGGCTCAGCCACTCCTGGAGCTGGACAGCACAGGGAAGGAGCCTGGGGTCCTGCACCTTGGCTATATTGGATGCAGGACAGTCCAGGCACCAGTGGAAGCAGCTCCAGGGTGAAGCCCACGCCTGTGGGGCTGGAGCGTAGAGGGAACTGACACTGAGAACTTGCCACGCCGTGCTAGGCTCTGAGCCTGGCGTTTGCTAACTCATTTCATCCTTAGGATAACCAAGATTTGGGTGTCAGGATGGTTGTGCCTACAAGGGAGGAAAAGTGATGCCCACATGGGTTAAGAAACTTGCCCAGGGTTACGTAGCTAGTAAGTGGTGGATCCACAGTTCTAGCCTGTGGTTTTCCTAGTAAGTGGTGGTATCCACGCCCTGGGACTGGACCCGTAATACAACTGCTGCGTCAGGGTATCTATTGATTCTCCTCTGTGGAAGGTGCTGTGCCCTTAAGCTCCTGGTAGAGAGGCAGATGGGAAGAAATCCCCACCTTGAGTAGGCAAGCTGTTAGATATAAATAATAGTGCAAAAGTTGAGACTGACAGGTCAGACATGGAGAGGTCCATGAGATAGAGAAAGGAATGCCTTGGGTGGGGGGGGGGGGGGGGGTTAAGGAGGAGGTGGCACTTGAGCTGGGTCCTGAATGATGGTGGAATCTGCAGAAACAGGTTTACAGTCAGGAATGTCTCTTTTAGGCACCTACTACTAATGAAGATAATGAAAATATTTTCTCCAAAGATTCTGCAAATGCAACAAGCCTCCCAGGTAAGGACTGGATATCTTTGTATTTCTATGGCCTACGGGATGCAAAAGAACTTGTCTCTGCAGAAAGTCCTTTTCTTTTTGGAGATATTGGCAGAGGACCAGTCTGCTTAGTGAAAAGGATCAATGGCAGAAATATTCTTTTTTGTTACTTTATACCTCCAAGTTTGATATTGTTAGCTATGATATAGTGAAGAGACCATAAGAAGGGTGGGATAAGTCAGTAAAATACGTCACAATTGGCTCAGAATACAAATGAATGTGCTACCAACAAAATTATTGGCGTCTGAAATGGAATACACTTTGAGGGATGGAATAAATCTTTGCTTCAGAAACCCTTGATTTCAATGGTTCTGATTCCCTATACCTGTGAGACCAGGAAAACTTAGTAACTTTCTCATCAAGAAAGATCCCAGCCAAAAAAAGAAAGAAAAAAGAAAGATCCCAGGTCCTGTGCTTTTTTACTATATGTATGGGACTCAAGGGGTCCAGACTCTGGAGGCTCAGTAGCTGAGCAGATCCATCTGATGTCCCTTGGGCTTTCTGAGGAAGGCCTTGGCCTCCGTACTTTTA